TAGAGACCTCACTAAATTTTAGTGAAGGTGCTGAATTTTCCTCATGAACACTACATCTGAGTAACTCTTAATACCTCATTAAATAGGTTACTAGTGAGTAGCTTTGGAATGTGTATAAAAATTGTCAGTGAAACTTGAAAAGACTTGCAGTTTGGCTCATTTTTAGCCTGGTAGGAGGCTGAGATTTGAGAACCCCTGTTCTGGAGTGTGCTTGCACAGCTTTATCTTCTCTGCGTCCATGGCGCTGCCATCAACTCTGAAAGTGCCCACAGGAATGGGGGGGGGAGGGAGACCTTGGCCTCTGCTGTCTGGCTCTGCTTGAGCCTCAGTCCTGGATTTGGCTCACTTTCCCACTTGTACTAGTCTGTACAAGTGCTGGCCAAGACAGACAAGCCATGGTGCTTGCTTTTGACAGACTAAGTTTAGTGAGGAAAGCAGATATTTTAACAGAAAACTGTAATAAAAGTTTTCCAGGGCATACATTTATTTCATGTACCATGATTTACTGAGTTAGTCCCTTGTTAGTGAACTGGGTCAGGAGCACTGATTTTCCTTTTACTGCAAGTTCCAATATGTCTTGTCATGGCACTGTTACCAATTCCATCTTCATTTAAAAATTTGCTGTATTTCTTATTATGGAATTACATTAATTCTGATTTTTAAAAATAGTGAATTAAAATATTAAAAAAAAATCTTGGCTACTAATCGTTTTGGCACCCCCCCCCCTAATTTGCAGCCGAAGCAGGGGCTTTACTCTCCTCATCCTAGCCCACCCTGCTGGTGAAGTAGACTGGCTGTTGTAGAACGTATGTGGTGGGGTCTCTGGCCCCTGTCATCTTTTCCTTGAAGAGAAGGGTGTTTGTACTAGCAGGTTGTCAGCTTTGCCTAACTCACTTTTATACTGGCTCCTCCTCGGTGGTTCCTGTCCCACGCCTGTGCCTCATTCCTCCAGTTCACAGCTCCCCCTCTGGGGGGGGGGCTTCTCTGTGTCTGCCTCATGCTTGTGCAATTCAGAGGCCAGCCAAGGACCCAGGAAGGATTTTTAGGCATATTTTAGTGGTTCTCCTATTCTGTACCCTCCTTTCTGGATTTCCTCTTCCCTTGTTTCCCACTCTGGGAACACTGGACTCTGTGGTTTGGTCTTAAGCCAGTCATCCATCCACAGGTGTCTGAAGGAGGCAGCTACCCCTTGCTGTGCAGTCATGCCCAAATCTCCACATATTTGCCCTCTTTGTCTCAAAAAATGTTCTTTTCTTTCAAGGGGGCGCTTCAACTCCAGTTTCTGTCTGCTTTAGGCTGCTTTCCAGTCCCCTTAAATGTTTCTTCTGTTTTGTTCAGAATTTGTGATTTTTCTTGGCAGGAGGGTTAGTCCAAGGCAAATAACTCTGCTGTTGCTATAGCTCATTCATTTTTAGATTTGTTTCCTAGAATAAGTGTTTAAGGGTGTGTGTGTGTGTGTGTGTGTGTGTGTGTGTGTGTGTGTATGTTATTTATTTCACTAGCTCGACTTCACAAGTTTTATTTAGTGTATTCATTATTCAATTCTAAGCATTGCCTAATTTTCCTCATAATTTCTTATTTGGCCTGTTTTTGTAGAGGTGTACTTTTAATTTTCTAAATGTTTGGTATTTTAAAACTTTAAAAAATTGATTTTTAACTTAATTGCATGGTGGATCAGAGAGTCAGCTTAATGTAAGAGGTGTCTTAAAATCTCCCATTATTGTAGACTAGGTCAGCTTTTTCTTGTAGTTTTGTCAGTTTGTGCCTTTAAATATTTTTGAGGCTGTATTATTAGGTGCATGCAAATTGAGAATGATATTTTCCTGATGAACCAAACCTTTCAGCATTCTATATTTTACCTCTTTATCTTTAAAAATGCTTTTCTCTTATTTTCTTTTCTATTAACATAGCTACTTCAGCCTTTCTTTTTTTGGGGGGTAATATTTGCTTGATACAGCTTTTCCCATTCTTTTACTCTCAAACTTTCTGTGAACTTTTGTTTTAGATATATTTCTTTTAAACAGTATATTGTTGCATTCTGTTTTTCATCCAGCATAACAATCTGTAACCTGTGCCTTTTAATAGGAATATTAATCTGTCCATTAACATTTGCAGTTAGTGGAATACTTGGATTTATTTTTTCCATCATGATTTTTTCTTTCTATTTAGTATGATTTTTCTGAGTTCTCTTTCTAGTCAATCTTCCCTGTATCTTTTTCTCCCTCCGTTTCTCTTCCTCTGTCCCTCCCTCCTCCTTTTGAATTCACTAAGATCTTTTCTGAGTTTGTATTTTTCCTCTAATGTCTTGAGAGTTTACCTCCATTTCTGTCATCCAGCGATGGGCCCTATTACAACTTTGATGTATTTGGCATATACTTGAAAGTAATGTCTTCCTCTCCTGAACAGTGGAAGGATCTTAGAATGCTTTAATATTTACCCCCTGGATCACATGCATTCATGGACTATATCTTAGCTCTATTGAAAAACTTCAAAAATACCTTATATTAGACATTTTAATTACTGCTTTTATGACCAATGTTTACTTCTCTGTACCCACATCTCCCTTTATCTACTGTTTCTCCTTGTATCTCAGAACATTTTTCTTAGATCATTTTCCTATTTTTTTTGAAGCCTATCCTTCAAATTCTTTTAGTTCATGCATGTTTGTGGTAAAATCTCTGAGGTTTTCTTGGCAATATTTTTTACTTTACCCCCTTTGATGAAAATATTTTTTTGTTGAGTTTACAATTCTTAGTTTATTATTTTCTCTCTATACTTGGAGGATATAATTTCCTTGTCTTATGGTTTCTACTTCTATTGTTGAGAGCCCGGCTTTCAGTGTAATTTTTTTTGTAGGTAATATGTCTTTTCTCTCTGGCTGTTTGTAAAATCTTTCTTTTTGGTTTCCTATAGTGTGACTGTGATATGTGTAGATTTTATTTTTATTTATCTTTCTTGAGATTTTTTTTGCCTCTTGAATCTGAGGGTTTATGTTTACTTATTTCTGGAAAAGTCTCAGCCATTACCTTTTTGAAATATTTTTTTTCTTTTGTTCTTTCTGTTCTTTTTTATGGAACCCTAATTAGAAGAATATTGAACTTTCTCCATTTAGCCTCCATCTACACTAACCTCTCTTTTATCCATTTTTATTTTTTGCTGTGGTTTCTTTAGCTCTATTTTCTGTTTAGTATTTCTCTTTTCCCATGTAGCTAATTTTGATTATTTTTTTATTATTATAGTTTTACATTTTGATTATTATAGTTTTTTTTGTAAACTCTATTGTTATTTTTTAATTACCTGGTCGTGCATAATAGTAGTCCTAGCTTCTTGATCATGTTTTACATTTCTTTTAAAATTATCTTTACCTATTAAACATGTCCATTTTCTATTTTGCAATTGATACTTCTAGTATCTGAAAAAGTTTTGGTTCTGGCTCTGTCATTGGTTCTTAGTGCTGGCTGTTACTTATATGGTCTTTTTTTTTCCTTAAGTGTTTTATGATGATTTTTGTTATGAGCTCACATTTGCTGATACTGTATTGGTGGGAATTCTTTGAAGACCAGGTTGAGAGTCCTTTCCTTTAATGTCCAGAAAGCTGGGGGAGCTCCTAGCCCAAGCCAAAATTTATATTAAAATTTAACATAAATTTTAATTTATATTACAATTATTGGTTTGGAGATTTTTCAGGCCTGCCAATAATGTGTATTCATGCTCAGCTTAAACGTTTATTCTTTTCTGGTTTTCAGCAGGGCTTGCAATCTGAATGCCTGTCTGTGTGTCTGACTGAGACTTTTTCTTCTGTCCCTCTGCATAAAGCCTCTATAACTGAAGCCCTGGGCTTCTGTAATCTATCATCGTTTTGCACGTATCTCTCAGAATTTGTGTTCTCACTTTATTTCTGATCAGAGCTGTTTTTCCTTTGTTTCTTGCAAGCTCATGCATTATTTTAAAGGCTTTGCAAAATATCTGCCTAGCCTCTTTTATTGCTTTGCTGTGTGAAGTGTTTGGGATCTCTGTATTCTGCAGTATCTTTAGAAACCATAGTCCTGTAGTTTCCAACTTTCATTACACTCTGAATTGCCAGTTGTAGTTCATTTCCTGAAAGAGCTTGTAAAATTTTACTCAGTAAATTGCTTTGGTTGTTAGGGATGACCGAAGTTGTAGTATTCTTCATTCCTCATGTTGTGGATTTAGCAGTCTTGTTATCACCAGACCTGGCTGCCCAGATGTCATGTGTAATGTTCATTGAATAAAAAGATACCATTAGATTTTAGATGGCTGAATTGAACTTTTTTTTTTTTTTTTTTTTTGAGGCAGAGTCTCGCTTTGTTGCCCAGGCTAGAGTGGACAGCAACCTCAAACTCCTGGGCTCAAGCAATCCTGCTGCCTCAGCCTCCCGAGTAGCTGTGACTACAGGCATGTGTCACCATGCCTGGATAATTTTTTCTATATATATATTAGTTGGCCAATTAATTTCTTTCTATTTTTATAGTAGAGACAGGGTCTCGCTCTTGCTCAGGCTGGTTTTGTACTCCTGACCTCGAGCAGTCCGCCTGCCTCGGCCTCCCAGAGCGCTAGGATTACAAGCGTGAGCCACAGTGCCTGGCCTGAATTGAACTTTGAGAGTACAGTACACTTATGAATTGAGGATACCTGTATATTAATACAGTATCGGTAATAAAAGGGATGAATCAGTAAATATGGTTGTGAGGTTTCCTATAGAACGTCTCTGCATTTGTGTGTCTTGATTATGTGAGTGTATAGATAGTGGTATTATATGATATTGCTAAAGTGTCCCATTTCCCTGTAGCTTCACTTAGACAAATCTCACTTCACATACCTTATACTTACATACTTACTATCCAGATTGTGGAATTGGACATCTGAAATTTAAGGAAAGCCTTAGCTATGTTAAGGTCTTCTTCACTAGGAGATGTATTTAGGATGAAATACAGGGTGGACGGACCAACATCTCAACGCCATTTTCTTTTACATTCCAGGTTGATGCTGATGTCCCTGTATAATGTGAGCATCAATTTGAAAGGCTTGAAATACATCAGTGAGAGTCCAGGATTCATCCCTTTGCTGTGGTGGCTTTTGAGTGGTAAGTGGGGGTGGTCAGTTGTACAGCTCCTGGTACAGTTTATATAGTAGTCCCCCCCAATCCATGGGGGATGCACTCCAAGACCCCCAGTGGATGCCTGAAACTGGATAGTACCAAACCCTGTATAGCCTATGTTTTTTCCTATACATAAATACCTATGATAAAGTGTAATTTATAATTAGGGGCACTAAGAGATTGACAATACATAATAATAAAATAGGACAGTTACAACAATAATTGTGCTTTGGGGACATTATTAAGTAAAATAAGGGTGGCTTAAAACACTGTAATACTGCAGTAGTTGATCTTATAACCTAGATAGCCACTAAGTGATTAATAGGTGCTTAGCGTGTGCCCCGTGGACATGCTATATAAACAGGGATACTGCACCTCCCTGGTTAGATGGGGACAGCTTGAGATTTCATCACAGTACTCAGAATGGTGTGCAATTTAAAACTAATGATTATTTATTTCTAGAACTTTCTATTTAATATTTCCAGGCAGTGGTTGATTGTGTGTAATTGAAACTGTGGAAAGTAAAACCACAGATAAGAGGGAGCTACTATATACCTTTTCCTCTGTAGATGAAGGAAGTTTTAAGTATTAGAAGGTAGGATTGATTATGTCAATATGTTATTTTTTTTAAAGATTTCAAATTATAGAGAATTCATTGGTATGCTCAATTGCTTCAGTTCTACTTCTGAAGTATTGTTTTCAATTTGGTTATGATTTACTGGTGACCCTGTAACACAAAGAAAAATTATCTTACAAAACAGCTGGTAAAAGGCATGAACCTGTCCTATTCTCTGTGGACACCGTAGTACTGTACGTGGGGTATGTAGCTCTGAATATCAGATAAAGGACAAGTCCCATTATTGAAAACTTTGGGTAAAAAGAAATTGGAGAGACTGCAGCACTGAAGAAAGAGATGCATGTGTAGGGTATGTATGTGTTTTAAAGTTTTCTTTAAAATAAAAAGCCCTCTTTACTGCTTACCTTCCTCTTCACACTTAACCACCAATTTTACCTAAGGTTTTGTCCCAATTTCATTATAATTTTTAACACTGTGTATTTAATGGATATATATTTTACTTAAGCATGCAAAAATACTGACTTTCCTTTTTCATAATATAATCTCGTCCCGGCCTGCGGGACCTTCTGTTACTCGCGGGGGCGAGGGGGACCTTGCCTGAAAGAGATGGGCGAGAGAAAGGAACGAGACCAAGCAAAGGGTTGTCAAGGTCTACTTTACTTGGATTTTTAGTAGGTTTTATATACAGAAACAAGGAAGTAGAAACAGAAAAATAGAGTGGGGGAATGATGAGGCTTGGGTGTGGGCTAATCAGCCCCAATCAGCATCCCAATGGCACTGGAAGCTGTTTGTGATGGATCACTCAACCCCAACCTGGCAGGGGGTCCGGAACAATTGCAGGTAGCATGCCCTGGAGCAAGCACGTCATGGAATGCATTCTTCTCGGAACTATAGCTGGGGGGCTGGGTGCTATTTTCAGTCTTAGGCTGTTTTCCGTGCAGGACAAGTCAAGACTAGTCAGGTCGTTAGAATGTGGAGGGTCTTAGTCTCCAACATCATCTCTGTTTTTGAGCTCTGTTTCTACCTGGTGGTGAATGCTTATTTTTTTAAACAAGTTTATTGAGGTATAATTGACATGCAATAAACTACATATACTTAAAGTGAACAACTGATAAATATCCCCTCATAAAATCCTTACCGCAGTCAAAAGAAAGAGTAAGCCCACCACCCCTTTGTGGGCCCTCCTTCCTGCCCCTCTGCTCCCTGCTTTCTAGAGAGCCACTCACCACCTTTCTGCACCGTACTTTAGTTTTCATTTTCTCAGTTTCCTATAAATGGAATCACACAATTTGTATTCCTTTTTGCTTAGCTTCTTTCACTCAGCATAATTATTGGAGATCCATCTATGTTTTGTGTTAATAGTTCATTATTTTTTATTGCTAACTGGTATTGCATTATATTGATATTTACTCATTTGTTGATGGACATTTGGGTTGTCTTTAGCTTTGAGCTATCACAAGTAAAGCTGCTGTGAACACACAAGTCTTCACATGGACATGTGCTTTCTTTTCTATTGGGTAAATACCTAGAAGTGGAATGGCTGGGTCATGTGGTAGGTACATGTTAGTTTCTATGAAACTGCCACACTGTTTTCCAAAGCGGTTACACAGTTTTATATTACCACTAACAGTGTATTAGTGTTGCAGTTGCTGCATAACCCTCACCAACACTTGGTATGGTCATTCTGTTTAATTTTAGACATTCCAGGGAGAGGTGTGGTGACACCTCACTGTGGCTTTAATGGGCACTTTTATTGTGACTGATGATGTTGAGCATCTTTCCATGTGCTTATTTGCCATCCACATCTTCTTTGATGAAGTGTATGTTTATATGTTTTGTCCATTTAAAAAATATTGGGTTGATTCTCATTATTGAGTACTGAAAATTCTTAATGTATTCTGTATCTCAATCTTTTGTCAGATATTTGAGAAAAATATTTTCTCCCTGTTTGTGGCATGTTTTTCATTCCCTTGAGAGCATCCTCTGAACAGCAGAAGATCTTAATTTTGATAAAGTTTATTTACTTTTTCTTTTATGAATCATGCTTTTGGTGTAGAAATTTTTGCTTAAATCAAGGTTAAAGGTTTTCTAATGTATTTTCTTCTAATAGTTTTATAGTTTTGAGTATATAGCTATATGATTTGGTTTGAGTTAATATTTCTGTGTGATGAGAGGTGGATGGATTTTTGGAGGAGGGCTTGTCTTTTGCATAACACTATCTAGTTGATGTAGCAACATTTGTTTTGAAGACTCCTTTCTCTAGCGAATTCCCTTTGCACCTGGTTGAAAAATCAATTGGCAGTATATGTGAGAGTCTAGTTTTGGACTCTGTTCTGTTAATCCATTTTTTATATCAGTATGCCAATACCATGTTTTATAATAAATCTTGGTAACTTTATAATAAATATTAAAGTCAGGTAGTATAAGTCCTCCAACTTTGTTCTTCTTTTTCAAAGTTGTTTTGGTTGTTTCTAAGCCCTTTGCCACTCCATATGAATTTGAGAATTAGCTTGTCACCTTCTAGAAAAAACAAATCTTGTTGATATTTTTATTGGGATTGTGTTGAATCATCAGTTCAATTTGGGGTGAATCGACATTTTAGCAGTATTAAGTCTTCCAATCCATGAACACAAGTATACATTTTTATTTATTGAGATATTGTTGGGACACAGGGGTCTCTCCTGTTTCTTCATGTATTATGAGGGAATGACCTGAACTCCTTTGATTCTGGGATTCTTTTCGTGGTTGTGTGTTTTGTGCACATCCTTAGAAGATAGAGATACCATCTCCCTCCAGAGCAAAGGGTGGGTTTGTTTATACCCATGTAATAAAGGTAATGTTTCCCTCTAGGGCAAAGGTTAGGCAGACTACCTGCTATAAAAGATGTGGGTTCCCTGAGCTTGGGGTTCCTCTCACAGGACACAGCCCGTGACATGTGTGTGGCCCTGTGGATTTGGGTCTTCAACCGGCATAAATGCTGATACTCTGGCTGTGGTTGTTGCTGTAACAAAAGTTCTTTGTCCGTGTTTCTGCTAGCATCCATGAAACTATAGCATGCTAACTTGTTAGCTTGCAAGTCGGGTAAAGCCCTAGACCTTCCACAGTTTGAGGGAAAGTTGGGGGGTTATGTTTGTGCTCCACAATAATGCTTACCCACCAGGGGTTGCCTACTTGACCAAATAGCTTTGTTTTTTCTAGAGAATCATAGAATCACAAGTGGTTCCTAGACCTGACCTATAAGGTACCTCCTAGGCTTGTTGTTACGGGCCAAGTGCAAGGAGACAGTTCCATTTCAGGGGGAGAGTGGTGTGAGGGAGAGAATAATTAAGTAAGAATACTTAATATTTTTTGAGTGCTAGTCACTTCTTTAAGTGCATCACATATATTTACAGATTACTTCCATCAGTACCCCATACGGTAAATATATATAATTGTTTCTATTTTATTTTATGTTATGTTATTTTTTTATATTTTTTTATTTTGTAGAGACAGAGTCTTGCTCTGTAGCCCAGCCTGGAGTGCAGTGGTGTGACTGTAGCTCACTGCAGCCTCAAATTCCTGGGTCCAAGTGATCCTTCCACCCCTACCTCAGCCTTTTGAGTAGCTGGGACTACAGATGCCTCCCTGGCTAATTTTTTAAAATTTTTGTAGAAAGGGGGTCTTACTATGTTGCCCAGGCTGGTCTCAAACTCCTAGACTCAAGTGATCTTCCCACTTAGCCTTCCAAGGTGCTGGAATTATAGGCATGAGCCACCACACCCAGCCTATTCCTGTTTTGTAATTAAAAAGACACATAAAGGTGAAGTTAGAAGGCCAGGGTTATACAGACACTAGTGGGTGAGCTGGATTCTGAAACCCTGACTGCCTGGCTCCACATCCTGTCTCAGCCACTCGAATGGATAGCTGCCCAGCAGGAAGTGCCTCAGAGATGGAAGCCTTAGTTCTGGATGCTTCTCACCTTTAGTTGCCATTAGGCCTGGCTTTGCTCTGAAATAATATGCCAGTCTCTATTTAGAGTAGTTTGTAGCTGGTGGTCCTTCAGCAGCCTTCTGTGAGCTACTTACTTTCTCATTAAAAGAGGAACACAGGCCAAGTGTTCTCTATGGCCCTTTCTAGATATGGTTCTTCAGAAGTTTCCTGGGGTGGGTGAAAATTGTTAGGAGTTTCATCTTAATTTATGTATCTTTGTCTGTAGAAAGCATCCCAAGAGTGTTAGCTTCTGACAACCATCAGAGATAGTGTTCTCTGACTTGGGTGGATTTTTCCTTCTTAAACTTTGGGTCATGGGCAATATGAAGTGGTTGTTAAGTTGTCATAATGCAACTTTTTGCTCTAGGGGCATCCAAGCCTTCCTTATCCGTGAAGACAATTACTGGTTCTTTGAGCACTGTGAACACAGCCCAAACCT